CCCTTGCCAACAACTACTTGTACAGTTCTCTTCCTTCATTCTGTTCATGCTGTCTTTTAAGATCCCAAGTGACAACTGTCAGTCTATACTAAGGTATCTCCCTGAAACACTAGGAAGAATTGTTCAATTATGAAAGTGCAACAACCGTTGCCTCCTACCTTTGCTTTATTAGCCTCTCGTTTTGCCTCCCCAGCCAAGCTTCCAACCATAGCATCTATCTGTTGTTTACTGCGAGGCATTCCATCAAAGATATCAATGTAAAGATGTTCCTGAACAATGTTCCAGATCTGATTGTTCTGCTTTTCCTGAAGATGCCTCTTCAAGAGTTGGTAAGAGTCACGGGAAATACGCAGCACAAACTTGCTTGTTCGGAAATCCAGCATGGTCTCGTTACCTTTCATGTGTTCTTTTTTGGTTAAGCTAGATAATACACGCAGGTCATCCTGGTAATAGCACTCCTGATCCCCATGAAATCTATTGAAACAATTTAAGGTATAATAAAAGCTTTATTACAAAAATAGTATCTCCTATCTGCACATTTATTTACATTACTTTAACATGAAACATATGTAAGGACCTTTTGGAAGTTACTGACTACATACGGGATTATTTTTCTGCTGAAATAGATTTCATCCTGGGGGAAGACACACCAGTGACTTACTGTACACAGTAAGAGCATTCAACAGTTAAAAAACAAGATGAAGAGAACACACAACTGGAACCCAACAATTTCATACACCCAAAAAGTTCTTGCCCGAAGTAAACAGTTACACTAACATGTTTATTTACAGAAATGAAACCCTAATTTGTGGTATCATAAAGTACAAGGCATTATTTATTATGCAAGATGACTTGGACGTATTTATATCTGATTCATTATATGAATATGCACATTTCACAGTGTATATGGTTCTTACTCTCCACTTGCATTATCTAATAGCTAACACATGACTTGAGTTTTTCATTTTTACTCAAGTCATGTTATAAAATACTTGTGGCAGGGAACATTTTAACTATTTACAGAACCATTTTTGCTGACCATATTGGAGGGAGACAAAGTTATCCTTCTGGATTGAAATATTTCACAACTGGTCTGAATCCAGAAAACAAATTAAATTTAATTTTCTTCTCAAGTGATAAAGAAGCAAAACATACTAAGAGCACATAAAATTATAGATTAGCCATAAATTAATTCCTTTAATCCCATTTGAAGAATTTCAATATACACGCTATGACATTAGCAAATACTTACAGCATACATTACTTTGGCACCTCAGTGCAATTTTCCAGTGCTAAAAAAAGACCACACAGTCCTTCCCTAAAAAAGCAGCATCTCTTCACTGATACTTTTGCAGCAAGGAGCTCATCAGCTCACCATAAAGATGGTTCAAAAATCTGCCCATGGACAGTTCAAAAGCACGTGGTTTGCACATCATGCTAACACAGGATATCGGAAAAGGATTTAAGAACAGCTACTGTAATCCATGGCACCACTACTTCTGATGCCAAACCTCTTCAACATTAGAGAAGAAAAATAATACAAACATATATGTATGTATATAAACCTATGCTACTATGGCTTACACATTTGATTAAAGCAGCAAACACAAATAATGCAAATGCACAAATTAAAACACATTACCTCTCAAAAAAAGATTTTGCTTCACTCTCATGTTGATTGTAGACCAATTCCAAGTACATGTGCACAAACAGAGGATAAAACAGCTGAGACAATTCCGCTCGATGACAGTCCAGGGAACACTCAATGAAGTGTTTTAATCCACTGTAGTATTCCTCGTACAAGGTCGGGTCCCCCTGTTGATTGTAGGCAGACAATACTGCACTCACATCTGGCTGATCTTCTACAACAACGCCTCCTCCAACTGCAAAAGCATTAGCACGAGAGCTTGTAAGACAGCCTGACAGAGCTAGCAAACATACCGTGGCTAACAGCTCCACTTGTAAGGTGAGGTGTTCTAAGCAAAACATGACACCAAGTCTTGTGCTTGTATTGTTTAAATTTAGTGCTAAACAAGTGAGAGGATGGTAGCACATTTTAGTCCAGCAGCGAGTCCTCCTAGCACCTTCAGCTATTTTTTGTGCTTTCCCTGCCAACAGTTCCGTATAAGGTATTTAACAGAATGCCAGATCAGGTAGGATTGGAAGTGTAAGGGAAGAAGTCACTAACATCACCAAAAGAAGTTATCTTCACTGCTAAGGCTAGAAATTCTCAAATGAGGAGTGGAATTTCCTAAGCCTGTAAGATATACCCACTACAATTACTTCGCTTCCAGTACACAAGCAAATTAAGTTCATCAAGTGAACAGCTCACCAAGATCAGTACACAACCATTACGGGGCAGTGATTTTTTGTCACTTGCTAACACTCTGAGAGCTCTGTTCTACATAGCAGTCATTAAACACTTTGTTTTGTCTTCTATGTAGAAACAATCCTATCAGGTGATTGTAGGAACAAGCTGACTTCATACTATACATTCACTGGAACCCAGATCTATCATTTCCTGAAACTTCATACTACTCTGTAAAGCTGCCCCACAGAACACTTTGATTAACAATACTTAGACTCCAACTATCCAAAGGTCATCTCAAGTACCCAGCAACTTGATCCAGAAATGTATAAAGCCTCCTCAACAAACGTCCTATGGCTCTTTCTTCAAAATGCAGCCGGTACATCAGGCCTCCGTTCTCATCCCTGCAGCCACACCTTGGACCATAGCTCTAACCACAAAGGAAACCTTCAGCCTCCTGTTACGCTGTTCATCACGATGGGGCACAAAGAGAAGGGGAAGCCCCTCTCACTTTGACAGTGGTTGCTGCAACTATGACGGACACCCTGTCCTTGGTCCCTTGCTCCAGGGGGAGCACGCCCAGGACATCCTGATCTCCTTCCGAGTCGTATGGGGGATTGATACACCCAGGGGTACTCCCCAGAAGGCCAGGGTAAACTTTCGCCTCCTGCCCCAGGGAGGACCACCCAAAAGGGGGCACGACCGCACACAGATCCTTGTGCCCCAGCATCACGGACAGCCCCCAAGGCTGTGAGACGCACAAGAGCCCCGCATTCTCCAGGGGTCCCGCCGGGAAGGGGGTGGCCT